TTTACTCAAAGATTGAATGAAACACAAAATTTCAATCAAAGTAAATTTTAACTTATTGATTTAGCTTTTGAAAATAGATGACACGAGGATCTAAGATAGTTTTGATTTCTGTTTGAATGGTCATTAATTTTTTTTAAAAATAGTTAAAATTACTTCATAAATTATAATTAAAAAAATATTCTCGATGTAAATTATTATCACAGCTCCTGTAGGTACTTAGCCAAACACAAACTAATATCCTGACAATTAAGAACAACGACTTCCATAAATTATCACTAGCATAGTTGGATTATATTCTAAAAAGTTTATACATCCTTATATGTGTTAGCCAAAAATAAAATATTTTCTTGATGATTGGGAATAATGATAAAGTGGTCAATAATGGAAAATAATTTTTATATAAAACATTTACCCGATAATCCTACGACAATTGCACGACATATTGTTAAATCTAAATCTTTCTCGCGGGTGAATTCTTCTTCAAGAATTTCTTGATTTCAATCGCTTTCATGATTTCTTCTTCAAGGCCTTTTGATGATTGAACTTTTATCTTCCTTAAAGAGTAAAAACTTTACAAATTTTTAATTCATTAGGTTTTTCAGCTTCATCGTTCTCTATCTTCACATATCTATAAATTTCAGTCAATTCGTAAACTTTAGAGATATCCTGGATCATATCCAAATTTAAAGGAAAAAAAAAATGTAGCATTTGGAAGTTTCCTAATGATGTTATTTTTAATATCAGATGCTAAGAAGTTGTTAAACTCGTTTTGGATTTTTTAACTTAAGTATTTTACTGAGCCGTGTGAACGCTGGAGCAGTTCATACAACACTGGATGATGCTGAAGAGTTCAAGGACTGATAAAGAAACGCCCCTTATTACTATGTTCAAGTCTCTTATTAGTCCCACAAAAAGTGAGATTACATGCTGCAAGAGATCACATTCGAAATTCCGTCAATTACTTTGCGCCAGATGCTTTGTTTCATCCTCAATCTTCTAATTGTTTCACCTTTAGTCCCATGCCATTGTCTGCTGTTCATAAACAAGATAAGTACGAGCATGAATTCTGGATCCTTCACGACTTGTTATGAGATCTGAAATATGTTTCCAGCTTTTAACTTCAGCGATCGAAAACTTCTGATTCCCTTGCCCACACGCTTCTTGTTCTTGGAAAAATTACCAACACTGTAGACAGTTCCGTTTAAAAAAATAGATTTTAGAAAAAGACCGGCCTTGTTTGTCATCTGTCTTAAAAGTGCTATCAGGTTCGTTTGAACCAACAGCTATAATTCTGCCTGTCATTTCTGGGTCTTTCATGCTATTAGGGAATATAATCATATTCGATAACTTGTATTTATGTATCCACATAGAGTGATACACTGTCTTCCTAGTTTATTTGAATTTTCAACATTGTCATGTTCTAACAATCCTCTCCTTTCATCTAATATATTTTCAGACTTACCTGTTGCCTCTACATGTTGATCTGTTATTATTTTCAATGCTAAAATAAGAAAATTTTTTGGAAAAAATGGTAACAAGCATCTGCGTCAAAGTAACAAATTTCGGTTCTTACGGAAAATCCCTCGGCCATTTTTGCCTATTAAGGAAAAGACGCCAAACTACTCGATTTTCCGCCAAAAATGGAAAAGTCTTCTTCAAACACACTGGGTCTGGTGTAAACTTCATTACATGTGTTATTTATTCTTCTTCATATTTATTATTCTACACGTGTTATTTATTTCGTGAAATTTGGTAAGTGAAAAATTTCTGATTTTTTATTATTATTTGAGGTGAAAAAAAAGTATCGAGTTCGCGAAAATTAAAACCTAGCGAAAATAATTGTTTTTACAGTATATCTCCTTAAGGAAAAAATAATGGAAATTTTTAATGAAAATTAAATATAAATAAATGATAATATATTAAATTTGTAAGAAAATTAAGAATAGAACGTCCTTTTTTGTATTAAGTAAAATTTTTTTTTTTTTTTTTGCTTGGCGCCGTCTCTTGTGGTCGACGGGATTTTCCGTAAGTACCCAAATTTCATATAACAAACTTTTGTATTCGCTTGTTAAGTCGAACAAGCGAACACAAAAGATAAAAGTAAATGATAAATAAATTACCATACACTACATTTTTCTAATATGTATACTAGTTTTATGTAAAAGATTATTTATTATGTTAATTATGTTTAACGTTTTTAATTTATCTTTTAATTGAAAAATAATGGAATGTAATATCTTTATTAAAATGGTCCATAAAACTCAGTTTAACTCAATTTTAAAATGTAATATTTAAACAGCTGTTCTTTTCCGTTCAAACGATTGTTACAAAATATGAATAGAAGAAGGACTAAATATGTGCGATTGCCCCATGTGTGCTCACATTCTTGAGCGAAACAACTTATATTGTGCACAACAACTTATATCTTTCATCCTTTCAACAACTTACATTATCCCATATGTATCAACGTTGCGTATTTTTACACAGTTAAATTATATGTATTATTGGTATTCCTTACAACAGTCTTCATGTTTCAAAATAAGTATCGTCAATTTTAAAGGTTGACGTTCTGTTTCGTTCTTTATTTATTGGAAATAATTAATTTAAGAGATATATTTCTTATATTTACAGCATTTTTACCATAGTCGCGATGAGCTGATAATAAAAGTATGTTTTTCCAATTGACGAAGTTTTCTGTAAAGCTCAACGAAGAGGACGCTCATAACGTGAACAACCCGAAAGATTCAGTTTCCGGTATTGCTGTGCTTGTTTACGTTGCTGTTGTGAATTTTTTTAGAAGTGTTTAATTTTTTGCTTTATTCTGATAAATACAGAAGTATGCATAAAGGGAAATCGAGTCAGTGTTGTGTGGCTGTGGGCTGTAGCATGAAAGCTAAAACTAATGTATTATCTAAAATAAAAATGTTCTATTTTCCTAGAAATCCATTACGTAGGCGCGTGTGGGAAACTGTTGTTCGTAGAGAAAACTGAATATCGAATAATCCATCTACTCTCTGCAGTACTCATTTTATTATGGGTAGTTAATATTTATAAGCATTTTATATCATACTAATGGATATGTAAACATATATCATAAAGATCTTTGACAAAAATTATGAAGAATGTATCAGCGGTGTTTGGCGACGATTTTCGTCTGTTGAGGTTAATTTATCACCGGGACACTAATGATTCATTATGTTTTAAGAAGTCACGTATTGTTTTATGATCTTTAGATAGATTTTTTTCAGTTTTTAAGCGTCTAGGAATTTTTAAATATATTAAAATCTTAAAAAGCTTTACATTCATGAGCCCACTTTTTAGAGAAAATATTATTTATCGATTTTTTTTCATGTTATATTGGTTTATTTTTGGAATTGAAAGGAATTTCGGTACACTAATTGAAATTTACTCAGAATTTGTTTAATATATTTTAACTGTAATTTTTATTTTTATTTTGCACAAAGTAGTGTTTATGAAAATTACGATATTTTAAGAGAGTACCTAGGAAAGGATCAGTATATGAAATATCAAAATAGAAGCTAATGCTATCTTTATTCTGTTTCCAATACTATATATATTTTTTTCAGGTAAACCATCTAATGATTTTAATCATCCAGATTATGGGTATTCAGTTTTTAAGCACAAAGTTCAGGACAGACAAACAGAAAAAGAAGAAGTTACTTATTTTCAGAGGTTAGCAGAACGTAATAAAATAATTAAATAAAACTAAAGAATCCCAACATTGAGTTCTGAAAACGGATTGCTGTTAAATGCAAGAAAAATAAATGAACAAGTAAATAAAACAAAAATTGTTCAACTATCACTCAAAAATTAGAAGAATGACTCCCGAACAACAGTTCAGATGACAAAAACCTTTAAAAATAACTTGAACTCAACCTGAAATAAAGCATTTATGTATTCATATAAAACGAATAAAACTAACACATTCACAGAATAAATGAAACTTATCTGTAATAAAACTAACACATTCACAGAATAAATGAAACTTATCTGTAATAAAAATAGCACCTTCATAGAATGAATTCAATTAAACAGCATTGAATAGAAATATATATTTGACGTATACTATTTTAAAAAGGCATTTATGTACTCATATAGGAGGGTATACCAGGAAGAATTATTTTAATGTCCAAAACTTGCTTAATGATACTACGATGAACACTATAGATGTCGGATTCAAAGAACGCCTATATAACGTCAGTACATATTCTTTGGTCGTATTATCGGGAAATTAAAAAGTTGCCAAAGTAGCGATAACAAAACAAATCTGGCAATTTTTGCATTAAAATTATTCTTTATTATTAAATATTCGCTACTAAAATACAAGAGTTTTAATTATAAATAAAACGGTAAGCAAAAAATATGGGGCGGAAAATGAAAACTTAAAATTAGAAAATATAGCTTGAAAAACTGCAAAACTTCGTAGAGAAATATTATACCGGAAGTAGAATTCACAGTTCTGGTTGAAACATTGTTTGTTGTTGTTTACGTCGAAAACTTGGTCAATAATAAGAAACCGCTCAGACGTGACAGACTTAGATGAGTTAGGTACTGGTATGTGATATTAAATTAAATGAAATTTAAAAATAATGTAAAGATTAATTTTTTTAGTAGCATATTTTTCAAAAATCACCTGCTCTTACTGGTTTTATCAAAATGTACGTTTAACCTGTTAGTTTTTAAACGAAAATGTGAAAATGCAGTTCTTCCTTATTTTATTTCGATATGCCTTTTGATTGTAACATGAAACTTCTATTAAGTGTAAAGTGTTACTTCATAGCTCCATTATGCATGAGACTGTTTCTTATGGTACAATTATTATGAAGCATTATGAATCTCATATTTGTTGTTGGAATCCTATGTATCAAATATTAAGAATTCGGAAATTTCTTCAATTGTAAGCCGAAGCACATGGCAACAGCTATATTTGCCAAATGGAACGCCAGTTGCCAGCTCGTTATTCGTCGTACTATCACAAGGCGAGGATGGAGGGTGTGACACGCTCTCCCATGTGCTTATGTTCCTGACGAATAAGTAGCCCATGTGAAGTGTTTTATCAACCTTTATGAGCACTACTGAAACCATTAGATTGGATAAATGTGTCGTATTAATGGTGACAAAATTTCCTGTCTTCTGTAAATTTAATCTTTATCTTGAGAGTACTTTATACCGTCGGCCATTATTGCATACTCTCGATCCCGCTCAGAATACTCTCCAATCCAAGCAAGTAAATAAAAGCACGTGTGCTAATTTTGAATTGTCAGAGGTACAGTACTGTGATTCGTTTGTTTTATTTATTCTTAGTGTGTCCAAGCTGTGGAAATTTTTCTGTTAAATGTTGGAATTTTTGTAATTTTTTTGTTCAGCTTAATATTATATGAAAAAAAAAAAAAAAATTCTAATTCGACTTAAGCAGTGTGATTTTAAACAATTATGGCTTCCAGTTCAACTATTCAAAGAGTAATTCCTCTGTCCCACAGTACACCCAACAATGATTTTAAATGTACTGCCAATATTATGGAACCTGATGATGATGTTGAACTTGAAAATGATGTACAAAAATCAGCTAAATTTCGTTTTAACCGTGGGCACGCGCTGTTGCGAAGGCAATATCATAAACATATTCTCATACAGCATCCAAAAACATTTGGTAAAAGAAGATTCACTTTTTCTGGATATCAGGATCATAAATCGAATACCAAGAAACGTCGGAGGTTCACTAGTGTTGCCCTTCCGACTAAGTTTTTGCTTGGAGGTGATATAACAGATCCTTTAAATTTGCGGAGTTTAGAAGATGAAAAAATAAATCAGCAATTGAACGCATTTACTCCTGCGTCATCTCCAATACCTATATCACGATATCGTACTCAAGTGAAACTTCTCATCCCTCCAAATATATATGATCCTCTGAATTTAAATACTGGAGAAGAAATAGAGTTCAATTTACTTTCTTCTAAACCCCGTAAAAGAAGACGCCATCGTAAAGGTAGACGAGATGATAATGAAAATGTTTTGGATACAAAGGAGGTACCTCCAGCAAAAGAAGAGTCTGAAAATGAGTCACCTACTCAAACAAGAAGTTCTCTGTGTCTTCCTCTTGAAGAAAATCATGAGAAAGAACGTAAGGCAGATTCTAGTGCTGCGAGTACTTCATCTGAGGAGAAAGTTGTCTCTGATAAAATTGTTTCTCCAGTTGTTCCACAAGGATCACCTGCCAAATTTTATAAAAGGTTTCGTTCTCGTAGTTTTTCTAAGGATGCTGAGGAAAAGACATCTGCATTAAAACAAGTTATGAAACGTAGGCGATCAAGAACAAGGCTGCAGCAGAAAGTTGACACTTTAAAATTTAGAGCAAATGCTCAAAAATTTTGCTATGGCAACCATATAATCAATCATTCTAACTGGTATTTTGGAAATAGTGATGAAGATCACAGGCTTAGATTTTTTGATAAAAATTTATTTGAAGGTAAAGATGTCTTAGATATTGGGTGTAATACAGGTCAATTGACTTTATACATTGCTGAAAACTTGCAGCCAAGAAAAATTATTGGTATTGATATAGATAAAAAACTTATAAACATAGCTCAAAGGAAGGTTCGCAAACACTTAAGTCAAAATATTACTGAAGATAATGATTTTCCAGAGTCTCTGGCATCTATGTATGGCCCATTAATAAAATTGGCCATGAGCACTTCAAATTCTTCAGACTTTCCAGATAATATATCATTTCTTGAGGTAAGTTATATTTTTATATACGAGCCTTTTAATTTTATTTGAGGTTTAAAATTAAAACATCTTTTATATAATTTCTTTATCATTTTGTTAAAAATATTTGCATATTTTATAGAGGATATTTTATTTTTAAAATTTATACAGTAAACCCTTACAGAACATGGGGGTTAAGTCATCAGCGCGTTGCATGTATTGCAAAATTGCATTTGACCAAGTTAACTTTTTATAATAAGAATGGGTAAGATATTATTCATGTGAATAAAATGTGTGCAAATCATACAAACCTGAATATTGTTGTAAGTAAAAGGGAAGCATAAAGTAAATGTGATTTGAATGTTTGGTTTTCTATTACTGCTTAATGAGTAGGTGCTATATGATATAATTAAATTTTTAAATAATTGGGTGATTTTTGCATGGGACAATGTCTGACGCAACTCATTAAATGTTTTGCGGTAAGGAAGGCAAAGTTTTTCAGTAACTGTTGGAAAGTGTCTTTATTTGCATAAAATTCCATTACAAAATTACAGATCTTGTGCCTTTTTTAGCAATTTGTTTAACTTCTTGTACATTAAAGGCTCTTTATCTTCATTCTTCCTGCTTTCACTGTCAGCTAGTTTTTTAAAATCGTACTTTGTGTTATTTCATGATTGTGATTCTTGGATTTCTCCTTCTTCCATCTCTGAAAAATCCTTTGCCACCTATTGCTTTTGCAATTTGTATAGAACCCTTGGCTTCATTTTCCTTTGATGGAAATCCTTTACAAATGCTGAAACCTTCTGGCCAGCACTGGTGCCAGCAAGCATTTATTGTTGATAAATTCTCTTGTTCCAATGCAAGTTTAATTATTTCTGTGCAGTGGGCAACAAATTGCTTCCAAAATGCCATTAGTTTAACATGCTTTCCTTCATCTAGTACTTTTACATTTATAGTAAGGTTTATTTATATTTAATATAGGGTTTGAATAGTTTTGATTTCTTTATCCACTGGTTGGTTTAAGAAAGTGGTGATCGGTGAAAGGAATAAAACCTCTGTATTTGGATGCAGTGTTGCGAGTACTTCAGTACTATGTCCTGGAGCATCATCTGGAATTAAGAGAATTTTAAACTGTTCTAAGTAATATTTGTAACTTTAATGATTGAATATTCAAACCAGTCATTAAAGAAGACTGTAGCAGTACGACCAATGCTCTGCAGTGCTCCTTGTGTAATTGAAATTTATCACATTGGGGAAATCAAAGGGAGACGATTAAGGTAACATGTATACGCAAAGTCACATTCTGCAAGGGTTTACCGTAATTGGATTTGATTTATTAACTGTTGAAAAGTGTCTTACAAAAATTTTTCTTGCCCATGAATCATCTTCACCAAAGTGTAATAGCAGTATTTTCAGAAATTTGCTCATTTTATATTCTTCAAGTATCTGAGCTGAATTCGAGTAACAGTTGGTGTGGGCAGGAAGGGGTATATTTTTTGTTTCTTCTCATTTTATAATTTGCAAACCCTTTAAATGGTTTTTCTTTTAAATGTTTAAAGTTGCATAATAGTGTGCTGGAAGACCCACTGTGGTCATAACCTGTGCGTTAAGTATTAAATTATTTCAATGGTATAAAATTTGATGTAATGAGTTGTATCCATGCTAAATGGAAACTTCAGTTTGTGAAGTTAATTCATTCCTGAAGGCTGTTAATCAACCAAAATATCTTTAAACTGAAATAGTTTTCCACATCGAAATAAATGTAAAGTGGATTAATTCATTACTGGACCACAAATGATTGTTTATTTAAACTTTACAATAGTATTTTGTACACAAGTTATCATAAACCAAAACCAATGTGCATAATTAAAGACAAAAAAAAAAAAAAAAAAAAAAAAAAGCTATTGAACAATTGAAATAGATTAAAACTAAATCTCGCTCTATCCAAATAAAGGGGAGTGTATGAAGAAGATGACATAGGTGGAAAGTGATGTAGAATTTGCTATTTGGGATGTAAAATTTCCTTTCTAAAATACATCAGATGACTCTTTAATGAGCATGCTCTTTCATTTTTTTTGTTTTTGTTTTTGTTTTTTGTTTTTAAGCACCATTTGACTCTGTATGCATCTCTGGGCCTCTGGTTAGCCCAGAATTAATCCAATGGGATTTTTTATTGCTTATATTTTAAATTGCTTCTAAAGTGAAATGTGTCCTCAAAATTCATCCAGTGTAATTTGTTGTTGCCTATGTTTTAATGTGTTTCTAAAGTGAGCCGTGTCATTATCACTAAAATTGCCTGCACTACTCCTTTATCAGGATGCTATCGTAATGTAAAAGCTTTGCAACTTACATCATTTTTCAAAAATTTCTTGGATCACAGGACAAGGTCATGTTTTTTTTTCTTTTCTTCTGAAGACATTTCTTCCACTATTACCTTTTATTCCTGCTTTTATAATTGTTGTAACTCTTTTTGTCAAAATAATATATGATCATAATTTCTTCCGTAAGTCAGTTGCTGCCATGCGTTTTTAATGAGACTAAAGAAATAGGAAATATTAAAAATGTTTTCTTCAGTAGGCCTTGAGTGTCTTAATTAAATTGTATGAATTACGTCAAAATACCTTTGAAAATCCAATGTTATTGATTTGATTAGTCATAATTTGAGATACTGTTCACCATTTGAGGCATGCTTTGTTCAGATAATTTGTTCACGATGTGAGACATTTGTGATCAGAGGTTCTACTGTATACATTTTCAGAAAGCATTGGAAAGGATTCTGCTATTAAAAGTAACTTCAAGTTAAAGAAAGAAAATTATCCCAAACATAATTTTTGGGAAATTACAGTAATTTAGTTACTTAAGCATGGTTCATTATTATTTCTGTTCAGTTTCTTTAAAGCATTCAGTTTTCTTCCTTCCTGTCTAGTTGAAAAAGTTTCATAAATATGACATTTTTTCCAAAGATGGGCCATAAATAACAGTTGGTACTGACATATTAACACAACCATGTTGCCACAATTTGGCAGTTTTTTTTAATATATGAAAAGGTAAAAGTTATTTGTAGATTGCAAGTTGGTGGTTTTTGCCCCCGCTTTTTTTACAAAGATTCGAAAATTATCAATATTTAGAGTTAGTGGGTTAACCTTATCAAGATATGAAAAGGAAACATGCTTTAGTAGTGTAAAATACAAATTTGAATTATTAAATAAAGATTGCATGGAAAAAAAAAATAAAAAAAAAAAAAATAAAACACTTGCTTTCTTCTTCAGATCTCTCTGTAATTTTTTAGTGCTGTTCTCCTAAAGTATACAGCAAGCTGTTTTTGCTTAAAAAAGGCATCAGAGAATTGTGGGGACTTCGGCTTCATGTAGCTCCATGTAGCAAATCCCAGAATTGCACAAAAATGGCATTGCACACTCCCTTGACTCTATCCATGTATGCATTGACCTATTTTTACTTAAATAGTCAAAGAAAATTGACAAAAATCCAATTCCTCTTACTCGTGTAAAAAAACAAATAAGTGGGCGATTCTGCACTTTACCCGTTATGAGTATGGTTGCTGGAAGAATGGTGGTTATGCATTTGGTTGCCAGAGTTTAGAAAATTTGCTGAGGTGGTTGATTAATATATAAGTACCAAACAATTTTTATAAAAATTGATCAAGTTCATTATGCTGTGTAACATGCTTTTACGGTTATTAGGTAAAATAGTGGACTGAATATATTGTATGATAGTTGAAATAATTGAACTTGAATTGAAATACTGGTGCATTCTCTTTATTTCATCAGACAGTTGTACGAACACTTCCCCTTTCTGCAATTAGGTAAACAAGATGAAATGTTCCTATGAAAGCATAATGCAGTTTTTAATCTGAATGGGTAGAATTTGATATTGATAACTTATGGAACCAACATTGTTAAAATTGTCTGAGCAGAAAATAAAACCCAAAAGAATTTTGTAGAAAATGTGCAAGTGTTTGGGCTTTATATTCATTACTATCTCTTTTTAATATGCTTTTTCTGTGTTTCTTGTAACCAGATATGTATATAGTTATCAGTTACTTTTGATCTGATTTAATTAACCTAACAAAATTTGAATTTAAATGAAAAATGGCAGGAGAAATAAATCAGATTTAAATTAATTAAATATTTATTATCTAGGTTTTATCATGAATAAAAAACAATCCTGAGATATGGTTAAAGCATGTAATTTAAGAATTTTATTGCAAAGATGTTTTTATCCAGTTATTCAAAGAATGTGGCTTTTATTTCTGTGAATAACTAAAGAAAAGTAATTTCATGGATATTATCAAACCCAACTGGAAATTTAATCCTATTTTATGCTAAATGAGTTAATATGGAATATATTACAGTCAAAAGTCATTAATTCGGACACCCATAATCCGGAATGATCTATAATCCGGATTTCAAAGCTACAAACTTTCTGCGCGTGTGTCGCATTCACGCATGCCCACAGGCGTTTACGAGTGCGCGTAAGACCTTTACGGCTGTGAATATGTTTGTGCGCATGCGCGTTTAATGTGTAACGGACGGTATAATGTTGTAGATTGCGTTGTTCCTTAATCTTCGAATTGGATCCGGCTTATTATTTTTTGCAGACTGTTAGAGCAATTTCATAAAAGTAAGCTTGAACTTTCGATTATGTCAAATGGAATTTCCAATATATATTTACTAATATGTAATTTGTATCTACAAAGCGAAAGTATGTTTCGCAATCCGAAATCTGTTTTTCAATTTCACCCCGCAGATTGGAAGTTGATCTGTCAGCACTATCCTTATCTTCAGGGCAGATGTTTTTATTTTATTTGGCATATAATTCCTTACTAAGTGTAGTAGTTCATCTTGATGTACTCCATCTTTGATATGATTTAAATCAAGTTCCTCGTCATTATAATTCGCTTCCGATAGTGAAGAAAGTGACCCAGAGGTTATTGAAAACGAAAACATTTCGATTGACAAATTAGTCGGTATTCTCAACACAGCAATTATAGGACTTGAACAGCGGAACTT